TGTTATACATATACATATACATATATATATATATATATATATATATATATATAAAGAAAAACAAGACGTGTCTTCGATGCACTCCGTCTTCGGCAAAAGGATCATTGGGTACCTGTCTAATGCGGACCAGAGAATACAAGCAGTTTGAAAATCAGCATAAAGCTGGTGAGTTCATAACCGGTTTTCTTTTGTGAAAATGTACGAGTTTCCTTTTGGTTTCTGAAAATGTTACGACCCAAGAAAATCCCATATTTTCTTAAAAGTAATGTTTGGTTAACCGTTAGGTTACACGGTTCTGGTTATGTTTAACTGTTATCCGAGGAAAATCCCATATTTTCCTAATGTGAAAGATGTATACTGAAAACCTGGTTATCCTTGTAAAGTTTATGTTAGTTCACCAATCCAAATGTAATGTAAAAGATGTATACTGAAAATGTATTAGTTTTAACACGTTTATAAAACTAATAAATACCAAGTAAACTAGTTACTAAACCCATTATTACTAAAATGTAAATCGCTGTTATCCAAATTGCGAGTTCCATAACCATACTACAGACTAGATATGACTCGAGATGGGGCCAATATCTTCTATGACTTTTGTCACCCTTGAACCTTTCGGTTCGGCTGTAACTAGCAGCCAGGTGCGGGATAGTCAGTCCCGTATAGATCTATACACTCAAGTCACGCTCCCTATCTAAGAGATTATGGTTACGGCGACGGTCATCCACTCGCGTATCTCTGTGGGGTGTTCTCTGAGGACGTGTCTCCAATTTATAGGAATGACAAATTTACTAGTAATAATACTGAAAGATCAAATGACCATCCTCCACTTGCGTATCTCTATGGAGTGTTACCGAGGACCAAACAATATTCTAAGTTCAAATGTTATGCTTTTAACTGATATAATGTGGGAAAACATTAGTGAAAATATAAATACAACAATTTATACTGTTTTTCACAAATAATATGATAATGTATTCTGTAGGTTCAAATGGCTGCTTGTTACGACTATCAGTGTTAAAAGCATATGAAATATGAAACACAACATATATAAAACAAGTTTTGAGTACAATTATTACTTGTACTTTGCTTATATTCCCCCTAAAAATAGTGAAAAGATTGAAAAAGGGTTGGGGTATGAACTCACCAGACGAGAAAATGCGACGGTTTGGATGCTATGTGACGGTTCGGGGCTTGATAACGCACGAGGTTCCTATGTAATATGAAATGGTATACAAATGTATCTAATTAGACTTTAAATCACTAATTAGATATGATAATACATTCCAATGAGCGGAAACACTTCAAATCAAGTGTTTGGAGTGACCCGGGTGACATCTACGGATGTGTGGGACTTGGGAAATGAGTTTACTCTTCAAGAGTAAATTCCTTATGGAGTTTTCGGCCCTAAACACTATAACCACATGAGTTCACGGCCGTGAACTCATGGTTGAGGGTTTTATGGTGCTAAATGGCAAGATAACACTCGAGGAGGGTTGGTATGAATTTATCTAAGACATGGAAGTGGATTAAATCATCAAGAACACCATTAAAGGGAGTTTACAGCCCTAAACATGGAGTTTACGGCCGTAAGCTCCTATACCCTTCTTAGATTGATGATTTAATTGCCTTAGACCAATCACACGTGATTTAAACAATTTTTACAAGCATTAGGATGAATTTTGGGCACCATTTGACTTATCTTAATGAGTTTATGGCCTTGGAACCTATCCTTGGGGGGTTATGGCCGTAAACTCTCAAATCAAGAGTTTTTGTGATGTTTAAGGTCACCAAATTTATTTTGTTTGGTTCTAGGATTTATTCCAACGCTTTGGTGTGTTTACATGGCTTTTATACACTTGAAAATGAGTTTACTCTCCATGAGGATGAGTTTACGACAGAAGCATGTTCTTGGGCAATAAACTCATGTTTACTCCTTAAAAACCATGTTTAAGGTGTTCCAAGTCCGAATTGGTAAGCCATAAATCTGTCACATCCCGAAAACTAAGGCAGAAACATTTCCGGGGCGGACTCCACGTTGAGTATCAAATCCAATGCACATAGTACGCAAAGTAAACAACCATTACATTACATATAGAAGTTTACATTTGTTCAAAAGTAAAGTTATGCAGTGTTATACATACATACATACATACACACACACACACACACACACACACACACACATATATATATATATATATATATATATATATATATATATATATATATATATATATATATATATATATATATATATAAGAAAAACAAGACGTGTCTTCGATGCACTCCGTCTTCGGCAAAAGGATCATCGGGTACTTGTCTAATGCGGACCTGAGAATACAAGCAGTTTGAAAATCAGCATAAAGCTGGTGAGTTCATAACCGGTTTTCTTTTGTGAAAATGTACGAATTTCCTTTTGGTTTCTGAAAATGTTACGACCCAAGAAAATCCCATATTTTCTTAAAAGTAATGTTTGGTTAACTGTTAGGTTACACGGTTCTGGTTATGTTTAACTGTTATCTCAGGAAAATCCCATATTTTCCTAATGTTAAAGATGTATACTGAAAACCTGGTTATCCTTGTAAAGTTTATGTTAGTTCACCAATCCAAATGTAATGTAAAAGATGTATACTGAAAATGTATTAGTTTTAACACGTTTATAAAACTAATAAATACCAAGTAAACTAGTTACTAAACCCATTATTACTAAAATGTAAATCGCTGTTATCCAAATTGCGAGTTCCATAACCATACTACAGACTAGATATGACTCGAGATGGGGCCAATATCTTCTATGACTTTTGTCACCCTTGAACCTTTCGGTTCGGCTGTAGCTAGTAGCCAGGTGCGGGATAGTCAGTCCCGTATAGATCTATAGACTCAAGTCACGCTCCCTATCTAAGAGATTCTGGTCACGGGGGCGGTCCTCCACTCGCGTATCTCTGTGGAGTGTTCTTCGAGGACGTGTCTCCAATTTATAGGAATAACAAATTTACTAGTAATAATACTGAAAGATCAAATGACCATCCTCCACTCGCGTATCTCTATGGAGTGTTACCGAGGACCAAACAATATTCTAAGTTCAAATGTTATGTTTTTAACTGATATAATGTGGGAAAACATTTATGAAAAATATAAATACAACAATTTATACTATTTTTCATAAATAATATGATAATGTATTCTGTAGGCTCAAATGGTTGCTTGTTACGACTATCAGTGTTAAAAGCATATGAAGTATGAAACACAAAATATATAAAACAAGTTTTGAGTACAAGTATTACTTGTACTTTGCTTGTATTCCCCCTGAAAACAGTGAAAACATTGAAAAAGGGTAGGGGTATGAAATCACAAGACGAGAAAACGCGACGGTTTGGATGCTATGTGACGGTTCGGGGCTTGATAACGCGCGAGGTTCCTATGTAATATGAAATAGTATACAAATGTATCTAATTAGACTTTAAATCACTAATTAGATATGATAATACACTCCAATGAGCGAAAACACTTCAAATCAAGTGTTTGGAGTGACCCGGGTGACACCTACGGACGTGTGGGACTTGGGAAATGAGTTTACTCTTCAAGAGTAAACTCCTTATGGAGTTGTTGGCCCTAAATACTTTAACCACATGATTTCACAGCCGTGAACTCATGGTTGAGGGTTTTATGGTGCTAAATGGCAAGATAACACTCGAGGAGGGTTGGTATGAATTTATCTAAGACATGGAAGTGGATTAAATCATCAAGAACACCATTAAACGGAGTTTACGGACCTAAACATGGAGTTTATGGCCGTAAGATCCTATACCCTTCTTATATTGATGATTTGATTGCCTTATACCAATCACATGTGATTCAAACAATTTTTACAAGCGTTAGGATGAATTTTGGGCACCATTTGACTTATCTTAATGAGTTTACGGCCCTGTAACCTATCATTGGGGGGTTATGGATGTAAACTCTCAAATGAAGAGTTTTTATTATGTTTAAGGTCCCCAAATTGATTTTGGTTGGTTCTAGGATTTATTCCAAGGCTAATGGTGTGTTTACATGGCTTTTAAACACTTGAAAATGAGTTTACTCTCCATGAGGATGAGTTTATGGCCAAAGCATGTTCTTGGGCAGTAAACTCATTTTTACTCCTCAAAAACCATGTTTAAGATGATCCATGCATGGATTATGAAAGCCCAAAAGGTGATGGATTAGTGATTACTAGTGGGCTAGAAGGTGGTTTGGGCTCAATGGTTGGGTTGTGCATGGTAACCCACAAATTGAATTAAGGTTGCATGAAGACTAGGGCAACATTTTTAAGGCTTCATAAGTGTTAAAAACGTTACTTTTTACTTCATAAAGCCTCCTAGCCGTTTTTATCACTCTTTGGTGGATTAGGGTTACACTTTAATGCTTCTGATGGCTCATTAATGCTTCTTATGGCTCCTTAATGAAGCATGAACGTTTTTTCTTCATCCTCAAGTGTCATGGACGTTTTTTTTTGTGTTCTTTCAAGAGTTACCTTAATTTCTATTTACTAGTTTTAATGAATAATTGGTTGGTTGGCTTGTAACCACCAAATTTGTAATAAAGGCTTCATATAAAGCCAAATTATGCATGGAAAAAGCAATGCACGAATTTTAATCAAAGAACCATTATTTTCACCTTGAATTATTGTTATAATTCTCAAATTATCTTGTTGGGACGTGTTCTTGACTTGATACGAACTCAATCCAATAGGTCTTGGATTGTTTTCATCGGTATACAACTTAATAGGTCTTGAGTTGTTACTATACTAATCTATCTATTTCTTTCCATTCACATATCATTTGTGGTTGCTATTCTCTCTTAATTTACCTAAACACTACCCTACTCACTAAATCAAGCCCATACACGTATCATAAGTGGTATCAGAGCCTAGTTCCGATTGGGTGTAACTGAGTTCTTCTTCAAGAAAAATTCTTGCTATTTTTTTATTTAAGTTGTTCAGAAGTTATTGTCCAAAAATGTTGCGCAAATTATATGATGAAGAACAAATAGAGGAAGATAAATTTGAAGAAGAGGAGGAAGAAGATTCCGGTCCCATCTACGACACCGATGGAGAAGGGGAATTTTGTGAAAGAATAAATTTCTTGTTTGAAGAGGAATTTATTGAAAAATTCACTTTCATGGTTGGAGATGAAATTATTGAAGACTCTAGCCCTATCTACGATATTTATGGGGAAGAGGATCATGAAGAAATTGAAGAAGAAATAAATTTTGTGCTTGGAAACGAAATTGATGAAAAGTTTTTGAAAGAAAAAGATTTTGTTGTTACAAACAAAATTGTTGAAGAAAAGGTTGAAGAATTCAAAGAGGTGGAGCAAGTTCTTGACCATGACGATGTGGTTGTGGTTAAGAAGGATGATGATACTCGTCTTATAACAAACCGTCTTTCTAAGAACCTAGAAGAAGGAGTGACCCATCAAGTTCCAAGTTCCAAGCAATTACGAGGTAGGGAGTTTATAATGCTTGGATTCCTATTCTTGTGGTGTACCTTTAGTTGGGAAGCCATGTTATTGGAACATGTTGTTCATCAACCCACAAGTACAAACCATGATCTAATATTTCATATGGCCATTGTTAATCCTTTAAATTATTTCAAGAATAATTTACTAGGTCCTAATCTTGTTCATGGGAGTGTACGAAAGTGGTTTTTGATCCACAAATGGAAGACACGGTTAGGATTTCATTTGGCGAGTTCTTTTAGCTATTTGAAGAACATGTGTATGTGGAGAAGAGACCAACTTGGAGTAAAGAAAATGTCACATTCTGCAATAAAAATATGTTTTCAAGACCTATTGTCATGGAAGGTTTGTATGGGAGAACAACAAAATTTGGTTCTTACTGAATTGAGGACAATTCCTTTCGAAGAAGGAGGGAATGATACATGTGTGGAAGTGACAAATTTTGAAAATGATAATGGTTACAATGTGGATTTGGGAGGAGACCATGGAATGCATGCTACCTTTAATGTGGGAGATCTTTCACCTTATCTTGATGATGATGGACTTGATGAATTGAGGTCAATTCCTTCCAAAGGGGGAGGGGATGATCCATGCATGGATTATGAAAGCCCAAAAGGTGATGGATTAGTGATTACTAGTGGGCTAGAAGGTGGTTTGGGCTCAATGGTTGGGTTGTGCATGGTAACCCACAAATTGAATTAAGGTTGCATGAAGACTAGGGCAACATTTTTAAGGCTTCATAAGTGTTAAAAACGTTACTTTTTACTTCATAAAGCCTCCTAGCCGTTTTTATCACTCTTTGGTGGATTAGGGTTACACTTTAATGCTTCTGATGGCTCATTAATGCTTCTTATGGCTCCTTAATGAAGCATGAACGTTTTTTCTTCATCCTCAAGTGTCATGGACGTTTTTTTTTGTGTTCTTTCAAGAGTTACCTTAATTTCTATTTACTAGTTTTAATGAATAATTGGTTGGTTGGCTTGTAACCACCAAATTTGTAATAAAGGCTTCATATAAAGCCAAATTATGCATGGAAAAAGCAATGCACGAATTTTAATCAAAGAACCATTATTTTCACCTTGAATTATTTTTATAATTCTCAAATTATCTTGTTGGGACGTGTTCTTGACTTGATACGAACTCAATCCAATAGGTCTTGGATTGTTTTCATCGGTATACAACTTAATAGGTCTTGAGTTGTTACTATACTAATCTATCTATTTCTTTCCATTCACATATCATTTGTGGTTGCTATTCTCTCTTAATTTACCTAAACACTACCCTACTCACTAAATCAAGCCCATACACGTATCAGAATTGGTAAGCCATAAAGTCATATCTATGTCCCAAAGTTGGTTTGGAGGGGTTTTAAGGCTCAAAAAACCCAATTTATTTAAGTTTATGGCCCAAGCATGCTCCAGGGCCGTAAACTCATGAAGATGGTCCTCAATCAATGTTTAAACTTGGATTTGAAGGCAAAAGAGGTTGAATAACAAGTTAAGGAAGTTAACTTAAGGATTTGAAGCCTTAAATCAATGTTTTTGGACCTTGAATTTTGATTGAGGAGAGAGGTTAGAGAGAGAGAGAGTAGTGAGAGAGAGAGAAAAAGCTTCAAATGGAAGCTTAGACCACTTTAAATAGTGTTTAAGATTTGGACACGGTGGAAATTTACCCGATACTGACGTTATACGGGGCTTTTGGTCACACCCGATCAAGTTGCCGTAACCCGATATGGTTAATTCTAAAAATTTTCCTATTATTAGATAGGGGTGTTAAAATGAGTTCTAGATGCGTTGGGACACCCATTAAGTCATAATAATTGTAACAATGTGAATTTTCAAAACAAAATTTTCATTTTTGCAAACATCAAAACCATCGTTTAATATTCTGAAACCACATGTGTAACAATGTCATTATAACAAAATACATCCCATGATCATAAAACAGCTCCTTCGTCAGTGTGTACAAATCACGCTGGTACCTTCCCACGGTCCTCGCTTGTACCTGAAACACATAACACAACAACTGTAACCATAAATGCTTAGTGAGTTCCCCAAAATACTACTTACGCACATACGCCTTTCCAGGCCCTGACCTTCCGGTCCATGTCTCAGGGGACTTCTGTCCCGTCTCGGTAAACCTTCCGGTCCTACCTACGTCAACCTTACGGTCCACATCACAACGCCTTCCGGCCCATAATATATATGCCTTCCGGCCCATAACATAATGCCTTCCGGCCCATATCAAGCATATCATACATAGCACATATAAACAATTAACTTATCATATACAATGCATATAACTCATAACATATCCGACCTTCCGATCACACAATAAAACCCTTCCAGGTACAGTATAGTGAGAAAACTCACCTCGTGGAAAGTCTAGAATCTCGCGTACTCGCTATCTCCAAATCCCAACGAAGACTCAACCTCGCCTAATCATAACGAATATTATTTTAATTAATATATACTTCCACAACTAGACTTTACTCCTTATCATCATTCCTCAGAGGGTAAAAGACCATTTTACCCTTCCTTGACTCAAAGTCCACATGTTGACCAAAACCCTAAAAGTCAACAAAAGTCAACATTCCAGTACGCGGGGCGTACAGCTTGATGTACGTTGGGCGTACATCGCTAACCCAGAAGTCGGGGTCTCCACCCAGTACACTGCGCGTACTGGGACTTACGCCCATCGTAATCCGTCGAATCTAACATTCTTCATTTCTGGTCTTAATCGGTTAAGCCATTACTTCAATTTCTAGATCCAGCTTTATTTAAGCATCCTTACTCATAAAGTCGAAACCTTTAAGCCTTAGCATGGCTGAAAAGGCTCTTACACTCCTTAACACCTTTCCATTTCAACTCAAGGATATAGATTTCATGCATGGCCAAACGTTCACATCCAAGATTACATTTTTATGAATCTACAACTCAAATGGACCAGAAATATGATGGATCTAAGCTAATGGAGACCATTTGCTCATAAAGTCTCCACCTTTGGGACCAAAACCTTAGAAAATGGTCCATAAAGCATACCACAAGAACTACAAGTCAAGATCAGAACTTTTTACCTTAGAATGGGGCTCCAACCTTTGCAAAGTCCAGATCTACACTTAAACACCAACTTCTAGCCTTCACAATGGACTCTTCTTCTCCTTTGCTATCTTGAAATGACACCACCAAGCTTAGAACACTCACAAATGGCTAGGAACGAATAAACACTCTCTTAGGGTTTCTTTCTGAGGGATGGTGGCTGAGGAGTCGAGCCAACACATTCCTTTTATAGCCAACCATAACAATTAGGGTTTTTGGGTCTGGACCGGTTACGCCCAGTGTAACATTGGGTATGCCCAGCATACCCGAGGGAAGATGCGTTTAAATGGAGCGCGCGAGTACGCGCAGCGTACTCCTTGTACGCCCAGCGTACTCGCCCATCATGTAAAACCCTAAAATGACACAAATTAAAGATGAAGGGCTAAATAAAAGGGTACCTGGATTTCGGGTTGTTACAATTCTCCCCCACTAGAACCAGACTTCGTCGCCGAAGACTTACACTGAAAACAATTCCAGATACTGCTCCCGCATCTCAGACTCGGACTCCCACGTCAGCTCGGACCCCTTCCGATATTGCCATTGCACTTGCACCAAGGGTACTTCCTTGTTCCTCAGAACCTTAACCTTTGAACCCTAATAGCCACTGGTCTTTCAACATAGTTCAGGCCAACATCCACCTGAATATCGTCTAATGGCACCACTGCCGACTCGTCGGCAATACATTTCCTCAACTGCGATACATAAAAGGTGTCGTGGATCTGACCCAACTCAGCATATAGATCCAACCGGTAGGCTACCCTGCCTACCCTAGCGATTACCCTGAAAGGTCCAATATATCGAGGTCCTAACTTGCCCCTCTTCCTGAATCGTATCACTCCTTTCTAAGGAGAGACCTTTAGGAGCACAAGGTCACCAACCTGAAACTCGAGCTCGAACCGACGCCTATCTGCATAACTCTTTTGGCGACTTTGAGCGGTCAACAATCTCTGCCTGACCTGTTGTATCTAATCGGTCGTCTAAAGTACAATCTCCGTGCTACCCATTACCCGTTACCCCACCTCTCCCCAACAGATGGGGGTGCGACACCTCCTCCCATACAACAGCTCAAAGGGTGGCATACCAATGCTCGAATGATGGCTGTTGTTGTACGAAAACTCTGCTAAGGGTAAATAGGTGTCCCAACTCCCTCCAAAATCCAAAACACATGCTCAGAGCATATCCTCAAGCGTCTGAATCGTCCGCTCGCTCTGTCCGTCCGTCTGCGGGTGGTATGCGGTACTGAAATGCAGCCTCGTACCCAACTCCTCATGAAACTTCTTCCAAAACCTGGAAGTAAATCGTACATCCCGATCTGAAACGATCGACATCGGAACCCCATGCTGCGATACCACCTCCCTCACATATGACTCTGCCAACTTCTCCGCAGAAGAGCTCTCACTGATAGCAAGAAAATGAGCGCTCTTCGTCAATCTATCCACAATCACCCAAATTGCATCGACCCCTCTCACAGTCCTTGGCAATTTGGTGATAAAATCCATGGCAATCTGTTCCCACTTCCATTCGGGAATCTCCAGCGGCTGCAATTTACCGTGCGGACGCTGGTGCTCGACCTTAACCTGACGACAAGTCAGGCACCTCTCGACGAACCATGCAACATCCCTTTTTCATACAAGGCCACCAATACTCCTTTAGGTCCAAATACATCTTAGTAGCCCCGGGATGGATCGAGAATTTCGATCGATGCGCTTCTTCCATCAAAATAGTACGCGTACCGCCCACAAACGGTACCCAAATCCGACCCTGAAATGTCATAAGTCCCCGACCATCTGTAACGAATTTTTGATACCTGACCGACAACCCACTCCCTCTTCTGGTTTTCTGGTCTCGCAGCCTCAGCCTGGGCCCCTCAGATGGTGTCCAAAATCGGAATCATCACCGTCAACCTCATACAAACATCTCGGATCGGGGCGCTCTCCGCCCTATGGCTCAACGCATCGGCTACGACATTAGCCTTGCCCGGGTGGTACAGGATCTCACAATCATAATCCTTCACCACATCCAACCATCTCCTCTGACGCATATTCAGATTTGGCTGATCCATCAAGTACTTCAGACTCTTGTGGTCCGTGTATATGGTACACCGAACCCCATAAATATAGTGTCGCCAGATCTTGAGGGCAAACACCACAGCCCCCAATTCCAGGTCGTGGGTGGGATATCTCGACTCATGAGGCTTCAGCTGCCTCGAAGCATACGCTATAACGTATCCCCTCTGCATAAGCTCTGCCCCTAATCCAGATATAGATGCATCATAATATACCACA